GTAGTACATCATTGATTAGATGCTGAAAAGTTGCAGGGCATTACAAAGCCCAAATGGCATTACTAGATATTCGTAATGTCCGTACCTGGTTCTGAAAGCTGTTTTCCATTCATCATTTGGTCTTATGCGAACCAGATTATATGCCTCCCGTAGATCAAGCTTCGTAAATATTTTAGCTGAACGAAGTCTCTCCAGAAGTTCAGGAATGAGAGGCAAGGGATAACGGTTTTTAACAGTGATTTTATTAATGTCCCTGTAATCGACACAAGGCCGTAGACTGCCATCTTTCTTTTCTACAAAGAATATAGGAGCTCCTGCTGGAGAAGTGGATGGTCGAATAAAGCCTTTGGCAAGATTTTCTTGTATGTATTCACGAAGTGCTTTCAATTCAGGCCCAGAAAGGGAGTATATACGGCCAAATGGGATAGCAGCTCCAGGTAGCAGCTCTATGGGGCAATCATAAGGCCTGTGAGGTGGAAGCTGATCAGCATTCTTCTTATCACAGACATCTGCGAAATCCTGATATTGTAGCGGAAGCTTAGTTAAGTTTGTAGCAACCATTTCATTAATTGTTGTGGTAACAGGTGTCACCTTAGAGGGTTGACAATTCATTAAGCAGTGTTCTGAAGGAAAGGACAAAGTTCTAGTCTTCCAATCAATCTGTGGGTTATGCAGCGCAAGCCAGGGTATACCCAAAATCACTGGAAACTGTGTTGAGGAAATTAGGTGGAAAGATATAGACTCATGGCGATTCACTTCCAGAATCAATTTTAAGGGCACAGTCTCATGTGTAACCGGGCCTGACGTAAGTGGAAAACCGTCTACTGTTTCCATTAACACAGGTGAAGATTTAGGGATAGACTGAATTTTATTTCCTGCTGCAAATTTAATGTCCATAAAGTTTCCACCTGCTCCGGAATCTATCATAGCTGTAGTTGAAATTTTATTATCACCATATTGCAAAGTGATAGGCACCACCAAATGAGGATGTTGAGTCATCATACCTTCTTCACCTTGAGCCAGAGAAAACAAGGGTTGTGTGACAGAATCCAGTTGGTCTGAAATCTGGGATTGGTGTTGAATCTGTGCACCCTCAGCAGTCATAGCTATTGTTCTTTTAGACTTGTTAGGGCACTTGATGGTATAATGCCCTGCACTACCACAATACAGGCATAAGTTGTGAGTGCGTCGCCACTGTTTTTCTTCATTGGATAATGGCCCTCTTATTAGATCTACCTGCATAGCCTCAGGTTCAGAGTCCGTAGGTGTTTGTGGGGTCGGAGTAGAAATTCTTGAATAGAAAGTAGGAGTAGCACTTGGTTTAAAAGAGCCCTGTCTTTCCAATCTTCTTTCTGAAAGTCTCCGATCAATACGGATAGCCAACCGCACAAATGCATCAAACTTAACAGGAAGATCAACACGAGCTAGCTCATCTTTTATAGCTTCTGAGAGACCCCTTCTGAAGTGGAACCTCTGGGCTGATTGGTTCCAAGTAGTATCAGTAACCCACTGTCTGAATTCAGCAGCATATTCAGCCACAGAGCGCCTCCCTTGATGTAAATGAAGGAGAGCGGCTTCTGCTGTAGCACAGCGATTGGGATCATCAAAAACTAGGCACATGGCCTCAAGAAAGTCTTTTAAATTTCCCAAGATTGGACTGTCCTGTTCCAGAAAAGGGGAGCCCCAGGCCAGGGCTTCATCTTTGAAGAGGTAAAAAATAAATCCCACCTTCTCTCTTTCAGATGGAAAACGGTTAGGTAACATCATAAAATGCAAACGGCATTGATTTAGGAAACCCCTGAATTTTTTGCGGTCTCCTCCAAATTTTTCTGGTAGAGGCAAGCGGGCATCTTGTGCAGGTGTAACAGTAGTAGTAGCAGCAGCCGCAACATCATGTGCCCTGTAGCTGGTAAGTTCACTATGCATTGATCGAACTTCATTTTGCAGTTCAGCTACCTGATCCTGCAGCACTTGAATGGTCTGTGCCTGGGTCTGCATAGTTCTTGCATTAAAAGCAGCCTGCTGGGCCAATGCAGAATCTGATCCGACGGTCTCCATGAATGGGCCAGATTATTCTGTAATGATATTGATGTTACAAAGTTTTGGAGTCCAGTAGCCAGATCAGCAATGTTTTCTGCCAGAGGTAGCCACTCGTTACCCAGGTGGTTGAGCCCCTGAGCCTTGAGTGGCCTTCTGGTCTTAAGCAGAGATGGGAGACTGAAACAGAAAGATGATAATCGTAGTCAGGCAAGCCGAGGTCAGTGGGAAGGAGAAGCAGCAAAGTCAAAACAGTCCAAATTCAGCAACAGGAAGGAGAAACAGGAACACGCTGGATTAGAGAGTACAGGAACCACAATAATCTGGCAAAGGTAAAGAGACAGGAAGTGGCTTTTATAGGCCAAGAACCAGACACCTGACTAGACACAGCTGAAGTGAGTTGTCACTGATAACCTTGACTCTACAAGCAATGGTATCAGATCTCAGGTAAATTTGCAAAAGGCAGGCTGGTGTACTGGTAATGAAAAGGTTTAGCATCATGTAAACCAGGGTTCGAAACCCAGCAGAGTCAGTTCCTCACAGGGACAGGGGCTGAAGAGGGGGGACAGGGCTGAGGTAGGGGGGACAGGGCTGAGGTAGGGGACAGGGACTGAGGAGGGAACAGGGACTGAGGAGGGGACAGGGGCTGAGGAGGGACAGGGCTGACTAAGGGACATGGTTGAGGAGAGGGCTGAGGTAGGGGACAGTGTCTGAGTAAGGGAATAGGGACTGAGGAGGGACAGGGACCGAGGAAGGGGTGTGACAGGGGCCGAGGAAGGTGACAGGGCTGAGGAGGGGACAGGGGCTGAAGAGGGGGGACAGGGCTGAGGTAGGGGGGACAGGGCTGAGGTAGGGGACAGGGACTGAGGAGGGAACAGGGACTGAGGAGGGGACAGGGGCTGAGGAGGGGACAGGGGCTGACTAAGGGGACAGGGCTGAGGAGGGGGGACAGGGGCTTGTAACGGATCGCCTGGCACCCCGACTGGGTACCTCCGTTGAAGGATGCTCCTAGCGCTTCCTGAGGACTCCAAGCACTCTGGCAAACACCACAATCACCGAACCGGAGAAACAAATAAATTCTCCCAAGCATATGAATGCTGTAGACAGTTGAATAGGAACCATATGAATAGGTTTACTCTCCTAGCAGTCAAACTGGAACAGCATACAATAAATCCTTCCCCCAATAATGAGGCGACACTTCACTTTGAGGGTTAAAACAGGAACTCCCTGTACTGTCACATATAAGCCCCTTTATTCCCAACATATGGCCAGCCCATTGGTAAGCGTTACGAAAACAGCCACCAATCCATACAATACACCCAGACACTCCCATCAGGGCCCCTCCGGCTGTGATATGATTACTGAACACAATGGGTAATCTAATTATCAGCAGTCAGAGAAATACAGTTTCATAAAACATCACAGGGACCCCAAAACATGCAATAACCCCATAAAAAGTATATCCTTGAACTGGGGATCTGGGTGAACCACATATCCAAAATTCACCCAGATCCGTTCAGTACTTTGGAAAATACAGTTTAATGCAGATTCTGCAGAACACATACAGGCCAAATGAAAAACAATCACTTTATAATGTGTCCCCTGCTGTATAGTCCAAAACCACTGCACGATGTCTCTGTGCACCAAATACTGGCGAGATGGCACCGTGTTGAAAAGTCCAAACAGTGTCTGTGAGTTAAAATGGCCGCTATCCATTGTTCTCACCATGTGCTTCATCCATTGTTCTCACCATGTGCCTCTGATACATGAGTGGCCACCCAGTAACTCCACAGTATGTCCCCAGATGGTTCTTAAAGGGCCAGCAGCAGCACAACACAAATCCATTATGCCAAAATCATGTCTTTAAAGGGCAACAATCCCAGGGGCATAGTCACGGCAGGAGGGCTACAAACCAGGCTTCCAGTGCATATGGTGAGGTTTGGTTCCGCCACAGGCTGACTACAGGGCTGAGGAAGGGTGGCAAGGGCTGAGGAAGGCAGACAAGGGCTGACTAAGGGACAGGGGCTGACCAAGGAGACAGGGCTGAGGAGGGGACAGGGCTGAGTGGAGAAGGCTGGGATGGAAGGAGGTACGTGACAGGACCGAGGAGGGACAGGGGCTTTAGGGACAGGGCTGAGAAGGGGACAGGGCTGACCAAGGGGACAGGGGCTGAGGAGGTGTAGCTTTCAGGAGCTGATAAGGGGAATAGGCTGAGGAGGGGACAGGAGCTGATGAAGGGGACAGGGCTGAGGAGGGGGGGACAGAGCTGATGAAGGGACAGGGCTGAGGAGGATAGGGCTGACTAAGGGGACAGGGCTGAGGAGGGGGGACAGGGGCTGAGAAAGGGTGACAGGGGCTGAGGAAGGGTGACAGGGGCTGAGGAGAGGAATAAAAAAAAAACTAAAGTGTATTTCCCCCTCCCTGAGTCTTACCTTAGGCCAGGGAGGGGTGGGCAGCAGTGAGCAGGAGCAGGAGCAGGAAGCAGCAACCAGTGAAGTCGGCCTCTCCTGATGATGTCAGGAGGAGGGGGCATGACTTCCTCTGCTCTTCTCCCAGACTCCCCAGTGGTCCTGTGAGAAGAGCAGTGAAAGTCACGCCCCCTCCTCCTGACATCATCAGGAGAGGCTGGCGATTCCACTGGCTGCAGGAAGAGTGAGGTAAGTTGAAAAATTCTCAGCCAGAAGCAGGGGATTCAGATTTTTCCCTTTTTTTGCTGGATGCAGGCGACCCTGGGTTTAGGGCGGCCTGGGGGGCAATTGCCTCCCTGCCCCCCTTCCCAGCTCACCCCTGCTGGAGAGACTGTTTGAGCAGCAGCAGGTGATAGTGGAGTTTCAGCTGCAGCACGCACGGGTCAGTGGCACTGCACCAGACTTCCCTCCAATTGATCAGAGTTAAAGGATTTCAAGTGAACTCATTACAATTACAGGGCCTCTAAAGAGTCCTGTATTGTTATTTGTCGTCACTACCTTCCCGTGTTGGGAGTGGGTCATTTGCGCGCCTGCTGCCTTCCTTGCATGTGGTAGCTGTTTCTCAGGGTCCCTGTACGAAATGGAACCCTGATTCCCCGTTACCCGTGGTCACCATGGTAGGCGCAAAAACTGGCATCGAAAGTTGATATGGATGACATCCGAATGCAAAGTCGCCGTCACGGGGATGTGCGATTGCCACGAGGTTCCCGAGAGTCAACAAAGTGCCTGCGCAACTATAATGTCAACAGCTACTCTGCGGAACAGAGTTGTCTTTTTTTATATGTCCCAATATTTTGGGGGCTACCCCAATTAAAATAAAAAAATATATATAAAAAACAGTGTTGGCTACCTCCTCCACCGCCGCTTCCACCTACTCCGCCACGGTCACTGCCTCCTCAACCTATGGGTCACTTAGTATAAACTATGTACACAATAGCAGAGGCTTGTGAAGGCCTTTTCTCCATGCATCAGGAGTTGAGCTCAGTTTGAACAATGAAAGAGAATACCCTGCACCCCAACCCTCAAATGGATAATTCTGGTGATCCTCCTGACAGCCATGCTTTAAATTTTGATTTATGTTCTTCCAAAGCTAAAATTAAAGATTCCATCTAGTGCTATTTTATGGCTCAGCTGTATTTTTAATTTTTATGTTATTTTAAGTGATTTCCCTATCCACATTTGTTTGCAGGGTACGTGTACAACTCTTACCGCCCTGCACCTGTGACTTCCCTCCAATTGATCAGAGCTAAAGGATTTCAAGTGAACTCATTACAATGACAGGGCCTCTAAAGAGTCCTGTATTGTTATTTGTCGTCACTACTTTCCCGCGTTGGGAGTGGGTCATTTGCGCGCCTGCTGCCTTCCTTGCATGTGGTAGCCGTTTCTCAGGGTCCCTGTACAAAATGGAACCCTGATTCCCCGTTACCCGTGGTCACCATGGTAGGCGCAGAAACTGGCATCGAAAGTTGATATGGATGACATCCGAATGCAAAGTCGCCATCAGTCGGGGATGTGCGATTGCCACGAGGTTCCCGAGAGTCAACAAAGTGTCTGCGCAACTATAATGTCAACAGCTACTCTGCGGAACAGAGTTGTCTTTTTTTATATGTCCCAATATTTTTTACCCCCCCATTTTACTTGTTTTTGCAGCTCTCTAGCTCTTTCCAGGAGTTTTTTAGAGGCATTTTTGTGCCCAGAATTTCAGGTCTCCATTGACTTCAGTGGGGTTTGGGTTCAGGGTCAAGTCCGCGGTCAAGTTCGAGCCCGGACCCGGACTTTTTTCAAAGTTCGGCCGAACCCGCCGGACCCGAACATCCAGGTGTATGGTCAAATCAATTCATAATATTAAATAATTTAAAAAGTTTATCCAAATGATTAAATCAGTTGGAAAGTGCATTCAACAATATTAAATCAAGGTCTATGTGAGATCTATCATAGAAACCACTTGATCTTACACAGATAACACAGATAAACACAGATAAATCAGCATGACTTTTGCTTTTGCCTGAAACTTTTATGTGGAGGGCTAGCATTTCTTTTTAAATACATGATATATCTGTAATTATGTGAAATATATTTGTAATTGTGTGAAATCCAACATAAAAACCACCTGATATAAAAAAGATCATAGAAACCACTTGATCTTACACAGATAACACAGATAAACACAGATAAATCAGCATGACTTTTGCTTTTGCCTGAATGGGGCTTGGCTAGTTCCTTCATTAAATACCTAGTATCTCTGTATTTATGTGAGATCTAATCAAACAACCAGCTGATCAAGCCTGATCTAACAAAAATCTACCAAAATAGCAAACTTTTTATCCAGATTTTTGTTAAGAGAGGCCGAGATCTAACGCAAACAATATTGATCTAACAAGATCTAACAATCTGCATATGTCTTTTGTTACAAATTTTGATTGTGGCCCTCTTGTGGAAAACCAGCAGTTTTTATGATTTTGTTTATTTTTGATTAAATCACAATTAAAATTAAATGAATTAAATATACATAATTTTCTTATTAATCAACACAACAAAAATGATTTAAGCAAATGCTACTGTTTGAGAAAAATAGCTAGGGGCAGCAATTTAATGTTTGGCTTAAATATCACTTATATATTGCATCATATAAACTCTTCATCACTTAATTTGATACAAACAATCAAAATGCCCAAACATGTTTTATAGAACAAATGCTTTATAAATGTTTTATACCCCGTAGAGATTCCACTCCCCATTCCATGATACGTACATTGTGCTAAGCAGGAAATTATTTAAAAAAATCTCTCTCTCTCCTTCTCCCTCTCCCCATTATTAACTTGAAATATATTAGTACAACATCAATCACAAACACCTGAATCTCAAACTTGATGATAGATGTTTTGTACCTCTCTTGTCAATCCACATATCCATAAGGGCTTGGTGCGTCATTATAACATGTTTCAGCTTTATAAATAAAATAATAATGATTATCTGTCAACCCGTAAATATTCCATGTGCTTGTTTTGGAAAATCATAACTTTAGTTTATACTTCGTTTTTACAGCAATTTTCAGATTGATTGAGGAAAAATTGTTTTGTACAAAAAAATTTAATTAAAAATAGGATAGTCTTAGCAGACAGACAACAACAATCATTGGAATAATATTCAAATAGATATGTATACTAGTTAGAATGAGCAATAGTTTAACTTTAACCTGTAATCCACACAAAAATTGTTTCACATTGTTATTATTTTTAAGATAACAATGACAATGACAATGACAACTAGTTTTGGATACAATCTGAATAAAGAGTTTACCAGAAACAGTGGTGAACTTGAGTGGTATATCTTTAATTTTACAGTAAGAAGACATTGAATTAAATTGTTGTCTTATTTTTTTATAATACAAAATTTAATTTTTAATAGTTGTTTATAAACAATTGTTAAAATGAATATATACTAACTACTAGAATACTTGCAAGTTTTATCAGTAAACCCCGAATAGTATCAATTAATGATTGTTAGAAGGAAAATGATGGAACCCAGGTACCGGGTGTTTGCTCAAAAAAAAAATAAAACTGCAATGGACTTGAAAAGTAGTTGTGCAAAGAAAGCTCCTATGTATCATAACCACTACAATAAACTATAGTGGCTATGGTGATTGAAGGAATTCCTCTTTAAATAATAACAAATATATATAGAAACAGTATTCCCAGTCCCTTTAACCCCTTGAAAACCGTTGACGGTACAGGACCGTCATCAGAAACATCCCGTTGAGGACTGATGATGGTCCTGAATTGTCATAACGTTAATTATTACTTATCTGATTGCCACCGTTACCCCGTCGACGATCTGTGTGGCTCCTGGTCTGGGGGCCTGACAGCCCAGACAGTCCCCCCTCAGCAAATTATCCTCCGTGAGCCATGTGATCGCTTTAATAATGTTAATAAATAAATAAATAATAATGTATATATATATATATATATATATATATATCTGTATGTATGCATGCATGTATGTATATATATATATTTATGTATATATATATAATATATATTTTGTCATACTAAGTGTGTTTATATATATATATATACATATATTAATATAAAAATACTTGTAATTAAATTACACACATATATATATATATATATAATACATATAATAACTATATATTGTATATATATTTAAATTCTACGTGCATATTTATGTAATATTTTTACATAATTAAGTAATTTTATTGATTGCAATTTGGGGGACCTGCTTGACAATCCAGGTCAAAAGTCCAGAGAATTGAATTTGCTATATTTAACCCTGTAACTTTCCAAGACACCCTAAAACCTATACATGGTGGTTACTGTTCTACTCGGGAGACTTTGCTGAACACAAATATTAGTGTTTCAAAACAGTAAAACATATCACGATGATATTGTCAATGAAATTGATGTTTTTTTGCATTTTTCACACACAAATGGCATTTGCACTGATGATATCATTGTTGTGATACGTTTTACTGTTTTGAAACACTAATATTTGTGTTCAGTGAAGTCCCCTGTGTATAACAGTACCCCCCCATGTACAGGTTTTATAGTGTTTTTGAAAGTTACAGGGTCAAATATAAGGCTTTTTTCATTTTTTTCACATTAAAATTTGCAGATTGGATATGTTGCCTTTGAGAGTTTATGGTAGCCCAGGAATGAGAATTATCCCCATAATGGCATACAATTTGCAAAAGAAGACAACCCAAGGTATTGCAAATGGGGTATGTTCAGTCTTTTTTAGTAGCCACTTAGTCACAAACACTGGCCACAGTTAGCGTTCATAATTGATTTTTGCATTTTTAACACACAAACAAATATAAATGCTAACTTTAGCCAGTGTTTGTGACTACGTGGCTACTAAAAAAGACTGGACATACCCCATATTGAATACCATGGTTGTCTACGTTAAAAAAAATATGTACATGTGAGGTGTGATTCAGAGATTTATGACAGATAACAGTGTTACAATGTCACTATTGATACATTTGAAAAATATATATTTTGAAACAGCAATGTCCTGCTTGTACTTATAGCCCTATAACTGCAAAAAAAAGGAAAAAAGCATGTAAACACTGTGATGTTTTAAACTCAGGACAACATTTTGAATCTATTTAGCAGTTTTTTTCATTAGCTTTTGTAGATGAGTACAATATTTTTCAAGTAAAAGTCAAAAAAATTTTGTTTTGTTTTTTCAATTTTTCACCATATTTTATTACTTTTTTAAAGTAAATTATTTGACATGATACAAATAATGGTATGTAGTGAAAGCCCTTCTTGTCCTGAAAACAAAAAATATATCATTTGGAAAATTTACAGCTAAACACAAACACCACAAAAGTGTTGAAACATCCCTGGTCCTTAACTTTTAACATGGACAAAACAGTCCAGTCTTGAAGAAGTTAAATATATTTTGTAAAGCTGCATGCATGTAGTTAATATATAGTTAATTACCCTATTTGCTTATTTTGCATGCCATCATAGTAACGAGAAAGTAACGAGAAAAGAGCGGTAAACTGCTACACTAATATCACACCTAGGGAACAATTCTATTCTATAAGATTTAAAAACAAAAACA